TGCACCACAGTTTTTGATGACCTATCTCTTGTACTTTCCCAGTACAAGAGAGACATGAAGGTACTGGAGAGAGTCCAGCAAAGGGTCATGAAAATGTTTAAGGGACTGGATCGCCTCTCATAGGAGGAAAAGCTGAGAGAGCTGGGACTGTTTAGCCTGGAAAAGAGGAGGCTTGGGGGGGATCTTATAGATGTATATGATTACCTGAAGGGAGGGTGCAAAGAAGACAGAGTCAGGCTTTCCTCAGTGGTGCCCAGTGACAGGGCAAGAGGCAGTCAGCACAAAGTGAAACAGGAGGTTCCCTCCGAACATCAGGAAACACTTTTTCACTGTGAGGGTGACCGAGCACTGGCACAAGTTGCCCTGAGAGCTTGTGGAGTCTCCCGCCTTGGAGATATTCAAAAGCCATCTGGACACAGTCCTGAGGAACCACCTTTAGATGGCCCTGCTTAAGCAGAGGGGTTGGACCTGATGACCTTCAGAGATCTCTTCCAACCTCAACCATTCTGTGAGTCTGTGAACTAACATAGAGATATCCCTCACTATCCCTAACTACCTGAAAAGTAATCATAACCTCCAAAGAAGTCTTTACAACATCTTTACAGTAAGGTAAGACCTCATCCCTCTCCTCCTCCTTCTCAAAGTAGATGAAAAACATAGAAAATTATTAATGCTTTGTACTCACTGAGCCCAGTGTCCATCAAAAATAAAATAAGAGGAAATACTCATTTGACGTGCTTCCAAGAAAGCAATTAGATGAAACAAATATGTTGAATAAAGTATTTTACTGGCAGGATGACTAAGAGATCAAGAACATTTATTGATCTACAGTCTTGGACCCGAACAGCTCAAATCATATCAACCACCTAAGCTTTAAAATTAACTCTATCCACTGCCCAGGCCTGAGGGCCGCTCAGTCTCTTTCAAAGTACCTTTGTGGGATCTTAGTAAGCATGAGTTAATTAGTTAAAGACTTTTCTGAGTGTCAGGTAAATCTGCCAGTTTATCCCAGAGTTGCTTCTACTGCCTGGTGACCAGAAGAGAGGACACTTGCAGGAGGACACATCCTGGAACTTTATGGACCAGCCGAAAAAACTTAAAGCCCAAAAAGCTGAGCTAGTGTCAGAAAATCCTCTTGCCTCAATGAAATGTTGCCACTGGAGTCTACAGCATCGTGCCCATAACACCACAGGCAGAAACCCATCACTTCACAAAGACCTACTGGACTTTTGTTAGGGCTTCTGTTTCTGAACATATTCTGAATCTCAAGAAACCAGTCTTCACGGACAAACACCAAGCTTTTTAGGGTTACAATGCCTGTGTAAGTATTGAATTTCCTGTTCTATATTATTTTTTCTCTCTCTGTTCTACAGAAATTAAACAAAACTAAAATAGAAAGGTTATCATAAGGTAAGCCACAACAGACACCATACATCAGCAGTTGCTGCCTAGATATACACGATGCTATAAATTCAAGGTAACTTGAGCTAGTTTATCCTTCAATGAAAGAGGAATAGTCTGACTGGCTTTGATGAAGAGTATGAACAAGGAACAGGAGCAGTTATCTTGGAAAAGGTGCCAGACTAAGTTCATAGAATCATAGAATGCTTTAGGATGGAACAGACTTTTAAGGGTCATCTAGTCCACCCCCCCCTGCAATGGGCAGGGACATCTACAACTAGATCAGGTTGCTCAGAGCCCCATCCAGCCTGGCCTTGAATGTTTCCAAGGATGGAGCATCTACCACGGCAACCCGTTCCAGTGTTTCACCACCCACATTGTAAAAAATTTCTTCCTTATGTCTAGTCTAAATCTACCCTCCTGTAGTTAAAAACCATTACCCCTTGTCCTATCGCTATTGGCCCTGCTAAAAAGTCTGTCCCCATCTTTTTTATAAGCCCCCTTTAAGTATTGAAAGGCCGCAATAAGGTCTCCCCGCAGCCTTCTCTTCTCCAGGCTGAACAACCCCAACTCTCTCAGCCTTTCTTCATAGCAGAGGTGTTCCAGCCCTCTGATCATTTTTGTGGCCCTCCTCTGGACCCGCTCCAACAGGTCCATGTCCCTCCTGTGCTGAGGGCTCCAGAGCTGGATGCAGCACTCCAGGTGGGGTCTCACCAGAGCAGAGTAGAGGGGCAGAATCACCTCCCTCGACCTGCTCGCCACGCTTCTTTTGACGCAGCCCAGGATACGGTTGGCTTTCAGGGCTGCGAGAGCACATTGCCAGCTCATGTCCAGCTTTTTGTCTATCAGTACCCCCAAGTCCTTCTTGGCAGGGCTGCTCTCAATCCCTTTATCCCCCAGCCTGTAGTGATACCAGGGATTGCCCCAACCCAGGTGCAGGACCTTGCACTTGGCCTTGTTGAACCTCATGAGGTTCACACAGGCCCATTTCTCAAGCTTGTCCAGGTCCCTCTGCATGGCATCCTGTCCCTCAGGCGTGTCAACTGCACCGCTCAGCTTGGTGTCATCTGCAAACTTGCTGAGGGTGCACTCGATCCCGCTATGTCATTGATGAAGATATTAAACAGCACTGGTCCCAGTACGGGCCCCTGAGGGGCACCACTTGTCACCGATCTCCATCTGGACATTGAGCCATTGACCACAGCCCTCTGGATGTGACCATCCAACCAATTCCTCATCCACCGAACAGTCCGCCCATCAAATCCATATCTCTCCAATTTAGAGAGAAGGATGTTGTGGGAGACTGTGTCAAAGGCCTTACAGAAGTCCAGATAGATGACGTCCATAGCTCTTCCCTTGTCCAGTGATGCAGTCACTCCATCATAGACGGCCACTAGGTTGGTCAGGCAGGACTTACCCTTGGTGAAGCTGTGCTGGCTGTCTCAAATGACCTCCCTGTCCTCCATGTGCCTTAGCATAGCTTCCCAGGCACAGAGGTGAGGCCAACAGGTTGGTAGTTCCCAGGGTCCTCCTTTCTACCCTTTTTAAAAATGGGTGCAATGTTTCCCTTTTTGCAGTCCCCAGGGACTTCACCTGACTGCCATGACTTTTCAAATATCACGGAGAGTGGCTTGGCAACTACATCAGCCAGTTCCCTCAGGACTCTGGGATGCATTTCATCGGGACCCATAGACTTATGTACATTCAGGTTCTTCAGGTGGTCGTGAACCTGATGTTCTCTTACAGTGGGAAGACCTCTGCTGTCACAACACAAGTTCACACCCTTGTTTACTCACCACATAACACCTTTGGATTTTCATACCCGAAAGCAGAATTTAGGATGTACACACTGGAGTAGGCATCTAGTTGTGCAGTCACTTTCAGTCAGTAACCAGTCTTTAGATAAAACAGCTTACAATAGCTTAGACCTCAAGTTAAAAGACAAAATACAGCAAATATGCATGACGATCAGAAAATGAAATCAGAAAGAGAGGAGTACCGGTAAAAAAAACCCCAAAAGCCTCTCCTGAGTAGGGTAGGCAACTCTATATCACATTTTCTAAACATTTAAGTTCTTCAGTATATAATTACTTCAAGATATCTTCTCTATCATGGGTGCCCTCTCTCCACCATTCCAGAGTTCTTGGAAGTATCATTTTGAGTTACAGGCATACACCAAAAAAAAGGAGCGTAGACCATCTCTATTTATCTGAAGTGTTAAAGAATTATTAAAAGGCCGAGTTCCAAAACTTCCCCTCTGGACAACACCACTTGCCAAAAGCCTGAGTAGGGCAAGAGGCAACAGCTGTGGGGAGAGGGAATGAGCAAGAGCAGCTGAGTTGTCTTGAAGAGGAGGTGCTCCTGGGAAGGGAGGAAACCAGCACACACTCCTTCCCCCTGCAAACCTACCCAGTGGTTAGGACACTTCTTTTCCCCAGCCCATTCGTGTTGCCCTTCTCAAGCTTTTGGTGAGATGGGGGACAGCCCTACACCAGAGGACACAAGGCAAGAAATCCTACAATATGACCAGTGTTCAAAGGCCTTTGCTTGCCTGCTGTACGCATGAAATAGGCTCCCCACCTCCCTGGGCAACAACAACTGACTGCTAGGATTGACAAAAGATTTTACTCTTGTTAGTCAATAATACAATACCACACAAGACATTGTCATATGAGACACTGCAGAGGTTTAGAAATGCTTGCCATTTGTTTCTAAGCTTCATCTTCTATGGAAACGAAGCCACACACCCAGACCGTCTCGCCTTTCCCTTTGCTCCAGACCCAAAGGAGGCTCCACAGAGGCTAACTGCATCTTACTGTCAGAGCAGTAAAATACAGCAGTCTAGACAAACTGAGCACCATTTAACAAAGAGACAGTAATCTCATAAGGCTTTCAGATTTCTTACTGCAGGAAGAAAAGTAAGGTGAAGCTCACAGAAGAGAGGGCTGCTCTGCTTGCAAACATTTACACATCAAAAAACCCAACCGTATGCGAGACAAACTTCATGAATGCCCAAATGCTGGACAAACTTCACTTGGAGCTTCCCTTTCCTCAGGCTACCAAGTCATTAGACATAAAATACAAATTCACATGCTTCCTTACAGTGTTTGTGGAATTAAAATGTTAAAATTTAATTCAAATGTACATTACTGGCTGAAAGAGCCTGCGTTTATTCTTTTTCATTTGTAGTATTTTCTAGTTGTGAAATAGCCTCTTATTCAGACTTTATCTCCCTATTGCAGTGATGTCAGATTCTTTATTACTTTTTTTTATTATTATGTTTAATACACTTCTAGTAGTGAAACAGATTCTCCTTTCTAATTAGGTCTAGCAATTAATAACTGAAATTGAACTGATGATGATACAGTTCTGCTAAACAAATAACCAAAGCTGAAATCAGAGTTAAGCATTTCCATATTAGCATTGACATCAACAACAGCTTATTCTGAACTTTACGGCTAAACTGAGTTAAAAAGAAAAGAAAAACAATTAAAATATTTCTTATTCATTTGGCTGCTCCCCACACTCAAGAAACCAGTCCCTCAAACAGCTGACCCTCCTTGTGACTGAAGTAAGGACTTATTAAGCAACCAACTAACCTTAGAGGATTTTCTCCGGCTTCTTCTTGTCCAAACCACCACTAGTTTATCTGGCTGCCTGTTGAAGATAAGGAAGAAACAGCTTAATTTACAAGATCAATATGTAAACAGTTTATATTAACACTCTTGCAATACATAATGACAGCCTTAGCGGATACATTATTTCTTAAAAATAGCTCAGCTAAAAACCACTCTCAGCATCAGTCATTTAACAGGAAAAATAATGCTGTATTTTTAGAAGAAGGCTGTCCGCCAGTCTGCACGCTAATGTCATCCTCCTCCTCCTGGTCTCCTCGCCTGTGGGCATCTCCCCAGAGCCAGCAGCGCACCTGAGCAGAAACTCTTCCATAGGGCAGAGAACAGGATCCAGCCTCTATAAAGACCCCTTGAAAACAATTCGGTATGCAAAATAAACATCACTGCAAACTCTAGTTTGAATTTCAAAGCAGGACACATTGAAAAGGTACTGCTAAGCAGCAGAGAAAACAGGCAATTTCACTTTTTCACCCCCAAACAATTTTTTTTTCCCTATTTGAATACCTCGAACAACAAGAGAATCAAATCCTTTATTACTCCTCAAAATCTCCTTGGATGACCACAGCAGATAAATCAGCACTTCCTCAACTTTCACTCAGTACAAGCATGCTGAAATTCAGTACAGCTCTCCAAGCAATTATTTAGTTGGTATTTCTAATGAACGTGGGTGGAAACCTCAATATAGGACACTTCCAGTAAAAATTATTTTCTCTTTAAATTTCCTAAGATTTATTTCTTGGTTAACAGTTACAGCCCTATTACTTCTACGTTATTAGTTTCACAATTGTCTCCGAGTGATTTTTGATATTGACCTAACTTCCAGGCTTTTTTTTTTTTTTTTTGGCCCATGATACACTTCCCATCGTATGACCACACTTCTGGTCCCACTTCCAGACCCATGACCCCTCTTCCGGAGACTCCTGACCCTCCGTTCCAGCTTTGTTTCCTGGCTGATGACCCAACTCCCATCAGCAAGCCTGACTGCAAATCCATCTGCAAACGATTTTCAGTGGAGTTCACATCTCCACTTAAAAGTGCTAAAGCTGTGACTCTGCCTGGAAAAAAACCTGCTACTCAGAGTTTTGAGACACTAGTGTAAGAATCCTTGCATTTCTAAAGCCAATAGCAAAACCTGTCTCATGTTAAAAAAAAAAAAGAGGGCGGGGGGGAGGTGGAGGATGTTACCGAGTAAAAGTGAAGCTACAATGCACTCAAAGTATTCTTTAAAAGATGCACCTGAAATAATCCACACAAGTATTCTGAATTTAAAAAAAAAGCAGTGTTCACACTGCTATCCTAGTATTTCATCACAGGGAGACTGTATCTACTTCATAACTAACTTTTCAAATGAAAACCCAACTGGTTTAATAGTCGGAGAGCTCTTTTTAAGCACTGAAGTGCTGGCTACCATATTATATACCTTCTCATGAAGCTGTTCATCATTTCTGCAGGCTGCAGTAAAACTACTACATCACCTATGATTCACATTTAAAACCCACCAGAACTAAAGTTCCCCTGAAAAACAGAGTTAAAGGCAGGTCCTATGAAGGAAATGAGGACACCGGCTTTTATTTGCTATTCTGTATTGTGCCTTACTCCTTTAATATATCCCTTAATTTCCAGGTTGCGGTAAATTGAAAGTGATGTAATCTACTGCATTTTAAACTGTGTAAATTCATTCTTATGGCTTGTTTAGGTGACCTAAACCATAGGCTGGCTCTGCTTGCAACTTCTCCTGCAAAACCTTGCTTGGTAATGAGGTCATCCTGTTGTACTTCGAAAGCTCTTTGCTCACTTGGTCTTGGGTGTGTTGGGTTCTCATCTGTTGGCACACACTTCCGTTCACTTTGATGGGAGCTGCGTTTGTGTCACCAGGAAAAAAAAGCACCCCCAAGCAATTTCCTTGAAGCAAAGCAATCCAAACCCATGCCTACAATAAACAATTTTTTCTGGAGTTATTTCACTTTGCACTTTAAAGCTGACTTAGTCTCATTTCAGAAACTAGCTCGTGAACCAAATTTAATTTAACCTTGACTCATTCAATCCTGAGCTTGCGTCTGAGCACAAAAAAATGCCAAAATTGGAGGGGGGAGGGGGTTAGGGAAGAAAAAAGAAAAGCAAAAAAAAAAGGAAAAAGAAGATGCACTTCTGCAGTATCAGTGGCTACACTGAACACAACCCTCCCTTTAAGAGCAGGACTTTGTGTCCCAGGAGTCACAGAAATAGCAGCATCAGTAGGAAAAGGCAGGACAATGCCTGCAGAGGTTAATGGGAAGAGCACAAGTCCACACTGCCACCAGCTCTCCACCTCTTCTCCCTCTCACCTAAAGGGACACAGTGCTCAGCAGCACATCCCCTCCCTGTTCCTTCTCGCCAGGGCAGGCAGCCACTATACTTGCGGTGGCCTTGGCCTGCTCAGGTGTACAGGAACACCCGCTATCAGAAACACGTAAGAGACAAAAAAAACATTCTTCATGGTATACTTAGTAGATCATGAAAACGTTGAATTCCAACACATGGATTTCAAGAGTAAATTTCCACAAATTTTCATCAGAAGAGCACTCAGGTCTCCAGAGATCCTGTGAGGGAGGCTAAGAAGGATCCTACCTAGGTCCCTTTCTTTCCTGCAGCTCCAGCTCAGGTAACGGTGATGCCGCTTTGCCCCTCTAGATCTGTTTTGACCTTGTCTTACCTATTTTGGCATCACAACTGATTTTTCTTGCAACAGCACTGGATCATCTCCCCAGGGAGAAAAACATGCCACAAGTTGGAAAATCGAAGCAGTACACCTAGCTCTGTGTGATGCCAACATCTAAATCAGGAGGCCAGCCCTGATGGAGCTGGCCCAAGAACAGTTGCAGACGTGTGCAAACAAACAGGCCAAGAGGAACAAGACAGCAAAGTGAGGAAACAGGAGTAGCATCAGTGTCGGCGCCAAAGCGAGTCAATTCAAAGTAGGAATTAATCCACACCTGCATTCCT